CTGTGGATTAGGATACAGCTGACACCAACTTTATAAAAGGCCAGGGGCAAGCTGGTTCCGAAAAGCCCAAAGGCGGATTACTCGGCCTTGGAGTTGGGCCCCTGGCACGTCGCGACGAAGCGCCCGCCAAGGAACCCACTGACGGTACGTACATACTTACAACTATGTGTCAAGTAAATGAGACTGCGGCTGACACCCATTTCGTAAAGGCCATGCTTTGGAAGGTCTTCCTGGCAGCGAGGTAATTGGTGCTGTTGTTCCTGGTTTGGGTGGTCCTAGTGGTCAGGCATAGGTCCGCCCTTACCTGGTGGTAAAGTCCAGTGGAGCTGTTGGTTTGCCCGTCGAGAAGAGACTAGTCAGGGTCAAGCAAAACCCTAATAGGGGAAGAAGCCAGAAAGAACAGGATTCTGAGGACGGTAAACGATTGGGCCAGTGGCAGGGTCGGGTCCGGGGTGAACAACCTTGAACAGAAAGCAGCATAATGAGGGAGCATGGAACGTATATACTTAGCTCTACGACTCTGGTACTGCCACTGGCTGGTATATAATTCTCTTCACCCCGTGCAAGGGTTATCAAAGCATGTTACAAAATATGGCGTTTGCGCAGATTTTATTGGCATGTGTTGCCTATCTATGACCATAATACCCCGAGTAGTCTGGTAGGAGAAAGGGCGATTGTTAATTTCCCTTATTGACTTCTTTAGTAAAATCCACCAGTAGCTATACATGCAGACCCACGGTCATGTGAATGGGGGCCTGAAACCTGACTTAATGACATTTAACTCTGGTAGTATATCATCTATATGCCCAAGATAGAGCCAACACATGCCTTTCTCGTGTAATATTGATTATATGAGCGAAAAACACCATGCATGGTCCAAGTATTCTTACTAAATTAATCCTAGAGTTCTTATCATACTTCTTGGAAGGGAATTGTGGCCGTGGGTGATCATATATTGATATAGGTGCTATATGCAGCGTTCATCCATCTCTGTCGCAGTAGTCTCTTCGATACAGGTCCCCTCTGTGTGGTTGACGTAGCAATTCCCATTTTCGATGATGATTTTTGTGACAGGATGCGCCCACAGGGATAGCTTTCTGGAGGAATATCAATCGCCTTATTGTACTGTAACGTGGAGCATGACTCATCGCTACATGTATTCCTACCTCGCTAAATGATGACCAAAGCAAATACCAAGTCCTTCAGAACCTATAATATGTGTCCCTGGCAAGGAAGTACCTATCCCAGCCACAAGGCCCCAGAGACTGCAGCGCCCAGAAAACCTGTCCAACATCCCACAGTGACAGGCGCTGAGTATATAATGATTGTGCGTCTGCCGAGCCAGCTGTATACTGTGGTAGGAATAAGGAAACCCTCCAGCTAACGTCGCTAGATCCGGAATGTTCGCCCTGCAACCTAGTGTGTGTATTCCATCAAGCGGGGGACGAGGCTGCGGCTACAACATGACAAACATCTGGCTGATCCAAGATTTGAACATATAGTTGCATCGTCGTGCAGGTGTAGCTATAAGTCTATGTTTCACATAGAAGCATCGCCATGTAGTCTAGCGGTTTGGGATGGCAAAGCACGTTCACCCCAGGTTTTGAGTAGTTCTCGTCACCGGAGGCATAACTAGAACACGTAAATCAGTTAGATTAGGATACAAATGATCGCCCCTGACCGTGATCGTACGTAGTCACACACACCATTCTCAATCCGAGTGAGTTTCGCCAAAGCATCGTCAACTCCTGGACGGCGGGATGGAATAAGCGCCGGCGGCCTCGTAACTCCGGTTGAGACATGACTTTGTCTCGATTCAGGCCAGAAGTGGCCGATTAGCCCCAGAGCAAAGTGCTCAAGGTGATGAGTCTAGGCTTTGCCATCAGAGTGATAGCCTTCGCACACTGGATGAGGCCTCAAAATGGAGGTTGTGGTAATTAGACCACGTAGCTACAGCTGCTTAGCATTACGACAGCAAGATCGTGGCATAGTTTGTGGGAGATAAAAACAGGAGAGATTCTAATGGAAGGAACATCATAGGAAGATAAGACAAGTCGAAGACGAAACCGAATGCAAACGGTAGGTCATGTGAAGTGGAAGGTGCCTGGGGCTATCCATTCACTGCCCTAGTCCACCTGACGCCCGACTGTTCATCTAAAACAAAGTCACAAATATAGGTCTATTGCCACATATATTAATTGTTACCATGAGCTCTGCCAACGGCTTTCTATATTGTCTGTATATAAATGCAGACAGCAACCTGCCTGACCCCGAAAACCCTAAGATGGGCGAATCTACCACAGTGGATCAACCAATCCTTGACTGAGTTCGCGGTGGGTGCTGGTGAAGACACGCCAAATGCCAGTTGCAGGGACTTCATATCGATGAACAATGGCACGTGGCTCTAGAAACCGATATGGAATATGACCACAGGAGCAATGATGACTTTCGCGTATGAGCCATCTACAACTCTATCGACATCATAATCTCCCCATCTTCGTCTGGTGGTGCAGTCTGCTTGAATCCAAGTTTCTGGTAGAATTTATACGGCGAATCCTCAGGTTGGACGTTCTTGAGAGGATTATCGCTTTTCTTTCCCTCCGGCGGCGTTGACATCACCCCCAACTGTTTTGCTCGAGGGTTATGCTGTCTTATATGTGCAATCGCAAATTCCACGGCCCGTCGACCGTACCCGAGATTCTGATACCGGCCGTCAATCATGAGTCGCCAGATGTAGTACGCCTCGTCAGGATCCCATATCGCCATCATCAACATGCCGACAAGCGTCTCGTCGGCGTAAATGGCACGTACCCAGGCGTCTTCGGAGTAGTGGGCTTCGCAGAGAGACCATACGTTGGCGGCGAGGTTCCCTGCCTGGCCGTCCTTGGGACTCAAGTTTGCTACCGCACGCCAGTTATCCTCGGTGACTTCGCGGAATGTGAGGGTTGAGTCCCTAGTGGGGGCGGGATTGCGGGGATCCTCCCCCATGGTATGTAGGAGGAAAGAAATGAGCAATCTAATCGGGCCACTAGGTAGAAGAACTTCCACCTTTATTACGAGGAAAGCTCAGCACATGACGTAAGATCACATGGGGTTTCTTCACATGACTTTATGCCCTATACAAGTCTTGGATTTGTAGGTCAAGTTATTTTATTTTCTTCTAATACTTTTTACGGTCTTGAAATGATCATATCTATAGGACAGTATTATATTTTCTTTGAAAAAAGATCTTTATCCTTCTATATTCTTATAACATATAGAAATGTACATGTATATATATAGTAAGTCTTGCTGTATTAAACCGTAGCCAGCCACATGTTGGTTAGAAATCAAACGAAAAACACAAGTTTATAATTCGAGATTTATATCGATTAGGTCGAGTTGGAGTTATCAGCGCATGACCAGGCTGCCGACCCACCGGACTTCTTATAACTGTCCATGATGGAAACAACCGATCCGTATGTGCCGCCGACCATCAAAAAGGTTCCGGACAAAATAACAAAGCCACTCCAGCAGACCATGAGAATCCACTTGGGCGACTTACTGACCTTACCCTTACTCCAGTTATCATATAACCACATGCAGCCCATAGGTTGGAAGGACATCATTGTGCCAAGGAGGGCACCAACCAGGGACACCAGGTCATTGAACACGGGAATAGCACTGGCAATAATATATGCCACGAGAGCGACACCCGAAGTGCAGCTGAGCCACGTCACCCAGTGGATCATAGTGTTCGCAGTCAGGTGCTTCGAGCCTTGTAAGAGGCGGATAAAGATATACTTCGCGGGCAACTGGGAACACGTTAGTAAATCAAGAAACTCCCTCAACTCTATCGCGTCGTAGCTTACATGGATGACCAGGAGAGTGGTCGTCAGCAGACCTGGTAGCGCAAAGCCATAGCTGACTTTCTTCACAGTCGGACCGGCGGAGCCCAGGGCTGGTGAAGCAACATAGGATCCACAGTAATAGTATACCACGCAGCCAATGGCAACGTAGACCGCAGTAACCACTGACTGGCAAATAACAAGGGACCGCGTATAATGGCGGGGCTCGCGCATCTCGGAAACGATTGAGAAGAAGGCCGGGGTACCTGCATAGGCAAAGACGATCGAGGACACGGCAGTGATTGCTTGTGTAAAGGTTGGGCTGGCAAAGAGCTTATAGTCTGAGACCCAGACGCCTTCTTGTGGGGCTGCATATGGGCGGTCCTGGATTCCGACAGCGATCGTGACGATGAAAACTGTTGGTCATGTTAGCAATGATCCATTGGTAGTACCGGGGTAGGATCGATCTTACTCGCTGAAAGAATGCCGAACAGTCCTACCCACGCGATCCAGCTGATACGACCTAAGGTTTGAATGCTAGCAAGCATGAAGCCCGCAATGGCGGCGACAGCCACGAAGATGGCCGTACAAGCGCCGTGGGTGGAGACTGCATTGAGCGAGATTGAGATTCCAAGCATTCCAGAGCCGGCTACAAAAATCCAATCTAATCGATAGTTAGAACGGCTAGGGTACTGGACTCTTTGAGAATAAAAAAACTCACAAAGGCAGAATGCCCCCCCAAAAAGTACCCGACCGGGATACCCAAACATGAGTGCGCCGGTATCATCAATCCCATAGACCTCCCGGTGTGTCAGCTTGAAGACACCCACAATATAGTCGGACCATGTTGTAATGGTAGCAATAGCGCAGAGGACTATGACTCCCGGGATCAGACCGAGGGTATCGAAGGCTAACGGGATCGAAAGAACACCCAGACCGATCTGGGTCTTCATCATGAGGGCGGTGGTTCCCAGCCATCCTACCTAATCAAATAGTTAGTTCACCATGCTATCTCCTGGCGTCCTGGGATGCACCAACATTGCGATAATTCGGACCCTCTTCGGTGATCTCTCCAAAAACAGCATCTTCATCGGGGCCCTGATCTTTCTCGATATAATCGATGTGGTATGTTTCGGAGGGGAAGATCTCGTCTTGCTTTTTCTCAGACATATTTAAGACCTGTGGCCGGAATTATAGAAGAATAGACAATTCAATTTGAGTGTCCAACTGAACAAAAAAAAAACACAAAAAAGGCTGTTTCATGGGTAGTATTTATATTAGTTAGTCTCGGCGATCCCATATCGTACATACAGCGGCAGATAGCGGCAAAGGTTAGATTGCCACTGGGAGAATCCGCACTATCATCCGTCCCAGGGAACGCGTTAACTCTGTTTCTACTATTACGAGAGGGGAACGCCAAACCCTAAAATCGAAACCGTCCGGAACCGTCCACTTAAACATAAGCTCGAGTAGAGTATATTATCTAATTCAAATACACGCGAAATTAAACAAGGGTGGCTATCTCCACAGGTCATGTCATGTAGTCTTCCGGGTGGAGTACTCAATAGATGCAAGATCTGGATTTCGACGTCTGGAGTCCACAGCATACAGGGCGAGTCTGTGCATTGATAGGAACTCCAAGGGATTTGTGAAGTAGTAATGGTTACCTGCTCAGACCATCTTTGAAATGCAGTACAGACTCGAAAGGGGACTGGCAGAGAGATGGCCTGATCCGTCCTGGTAGAGTACGGGGCGCGTCTCCGATGAGGGTAGGGTAGGGTAGGGTCACAACTCTTTGGGCAGTATGGAGTGGCGCAGATCCCCCAGATAAAACGCGCATTGCCGAACGCGGGGAACACCCCACGAATACGATACGACGTTGTGGTGAACCGGCCCGGCGTCGGCAGGACGAGTGAATCTGTATGTAGAAACACCCTACCAGGTAACAGTTCACGGGAGTAGCCTGCCCAATGCAATCATAGGAGTTGATTGGAGGGACACAGAAAGCCACGTTGCAAGAACTTGCCACTGGATTGTCTGGGAGCCCTGGACAATTTCCCCATTGAGACTAGTATGCCGCAGTCTCAAAAGTCTAGCCGGTTGTAACTTCCTGGAAATCTTATATGCGTCCATCCGGTGGTACTCAAATTCCTTGCCGGTCCAGAACCCCAACGAGTGGTGTTTGGGATATCAACCATTTGCCCTGCCAACAAACACATTCTCGACCTAACTTCTTCAGCGCCACTCTGTGTGATCCTGTCAAGGTCGCTTGTATTGAGGGCATTCCTCACCCTGGAGCCTTTCTAGCGGATTTAGGTTTCCTAATGGTACGCTAAAAGCCAACCGAGCGGCGGGCTAGGCCTCGCGAACTCCGCGCCCCCCGCCCGCCACGGAACATACAACTCTATTTAACAAATAGGGTTGGCTTTTCCACGAGTTATCGCTGTCTCACGCAGGAGAGTCACTGGGGGACTACGGGACCCCTCCCGAGAATTTAGATCGTCTAAAACCAAAATGGAAAAGCACACGATGCTAGGGGAAAAGTTATTGGTATCATATATCTGCTCGCAAGATATGTTCGAGAAGGCGTGACGCTGTGTTATGGGAATAGACGACGCCATATTCGTATTATCCGAGGTGTCAAAATAGAAACATGTCATACCTCCACCGATATGTGGTGGTGGGTCCACTGGTAGCTACAACTAAAGCGAATGACGTCGACCAGCGTCGAGATGTCTCCGGTCATAGTCAAACAGCGGTCAATAAGTGGGCCCATGTGGATGTGAATGTTAGGAATCACTGGTTCTGCACAATTACGACTGTGGGGAGTTGATATGTGGAGTCCGGGGGCGGCTACCCACTGCAAAGCTCCAGCTTTCTCATGCAACCGTTTACTCTGCTGTTGACAAAGGGTCTATGGTTTGAACAATTCCAGTAGCTATGGTCACGGCCGGATGTGTATAGTTTTCGAAAGCGGTGACTTGAGTAGAACCGGTGGATTGCACGTCAGCCTGATTTCAAGATATGATATCGCCAGTACTGATCGTCAAACGTGGCAGACTATGAAGACACATTCTGGACTATTTAACAGCATAGTATTCATGCCTCTCCCTTATACAAGTAATTTAATATCGGTATACGCCCGGGCCGTTTTATCCTCATTCCATTGGAGGTATATGCGGCGGGTATCCAACACAGAACCAAGTCGTGAGTTCTGTTGGACTTAGTGATCTAGCTATTTTCTGGCACGATAGGAATCATAGCACGGTTGTCGAATTCCCCTATCGCCTTACTATTCTTTTAGAGCTTCTGATAGCACAACGCCAATGGCCAAACCTACTTGGAGACACCACTACAGTGTCAAAAGCTTGATTGACGTTAGAGGGTCTCCTGGTCAGTCGTGTATTGAACATGGTATTGTCCATAGCTTGAATATGTGGATTCTCGGAATGTGGTGGAATGTGATTGGCAAGTTAGTATATTTAAATCGCCGTCGATATCACTACGTTTGAGTTTATCGCCACTCGCAATGTGCATCAGTCCACCTGGGACCTATGATGGAGTATGTAATACTACACCGTGCAATGTTTCAAATTGTCTCGACTTGAAGGACATTGATGTCTTCATCAAAAACGGCGGAGAAAGGTAGGTATGTCCCTGCATAGAAGAGCTATGTAATCCGTAGTGGTAATCACGAGCCCTACCACTGTATTACACATTCACTCGTGAGAGGGTCAAGAAACCCTGGTTCTCCACAATTAATGTTCGGTCAGACAGGTAGAACGCTCAGGCACTGCTTTTCAAGTCAGTCCATCTCATGTCAGTAGTATCGAATACGGAAACTAACAAAGACCGGGTACCGCGTGAATGCTGTATACACTTGTTACCACAGGGACTGGTGTTAAACAGACGTGTTTTCAGACATCTAAGATGACATCATTGAAAGATAATCAGAGATACTCTCGTTGCCGTCTATATTATCGGAAGCGCTTCCGATAACTCGGGAAGCCTGCCGAAGTTTAAGGTTGCTCGCGTCTCAGCCTTTCGTGGCGTCCTGTAGGAACGTTAGTCCAGCCAACACTTCTGGTTAGCACTCTTTTATCTCGTTCCTGCATAGCCCGATATCATCTCATTCGTCTGCCATACTATCATCTAGTTTCTAGATCATTGA